TTTTTGTGGAAATGGATAGAAACCATTATATCCTGGATCCACAGTCCGGACAAGTTAGCAACTAGTCCAGTCCTTCTAGAAACGTTCTAGTGAAAACCTTGATCACACCAAGTATATACGAGTTTCTTGCAACTTCATAGTGATTAACGATACACTTTTTTAGTATTGTGTAAAAGTCGGCAAACTTGTGAATCAAGGAGCATTTTACTATACAAATTGCAGGTATTTCGAATACTGCAAATCCATAATTTTGAATAAAAAGTTGTTGTTTGCAGATTTTATATACAAATCACAACACTATGACGTAAAGCACGAGTGTACGTAAATATATATACAGCTTTTCAAGATATATAAAATCTGCATATATGCACAATGGCGGCACGCGTACAATATATTTACCTATGTGTATCAAAGTGTGTAAGTATGTCTAAGCGTTCGCTGTATCATAACGATACGTAAACTATGTACACATGTGTGCACAAGAGTGTCGTTTTAATTACATTAAACAAAGTGTATCCTTCCGTAATACAAGTTATAGTAGACACATATCTTACACGAACTGTATATCTCGTTCCCGTCGAACCAGTAGAAACAGCATAATGATGGTGGTATTACTATGTTAGTTAAACCCTTTTGTTAATAAACCAACCAATATATATATCATTCGGACAGCTGTATCAATATGGTTTCTACATCTTCTATTTATACAATTATTCATGTTAAATTCGCTTTAGGCATGTTAAATAATTTTTAACCATAAATAAATTCTTTATGAAAAAAAGAAAGAAGAAAACAAGTCCAAGACAGGTGGATACATTTAATATGAATAAAGCTGGTTAAATTGAATCTACATTGTCCATAACGGTAGCAGATTACCTGTGAATTCTTCACCGAATTATATACTCTTACAGCGTAAAAAAAAAGATTAATTATTCATGAGAAATAATTATTATGACAAAGTCACCTTAAGCAAACAAAACGATTTCAAGTTTCATTAATTTTAAATAACACATCAGGAATGTAGTTATACAAATTCGAATCTGATGTATAATATTCAAATTCAATACACTTTAGGTACTGTATAAGTTAATAATCAGTTCTCAAAACAATCTGTCGAAAACTAAACTGTGTGAAGTAATACTTCTGATATTTTTACTGTCATGATTAAATACACGTAATTACTATCTATGTCATCAATTTCTCATCTTAAAACAATCTGTCGAAAACTAAACTGTGTGAAGTAATACTTCTGATATTTTTACT